CTATGTAATGTAATAGCATCTGACATGCTTTGTGAATTTTACGTTTTAATGATTTTACTACCTCAAGACATTGTGGGTTGCACACACCTGGTCAGAGTTGTATATGACACATAATGACTTATGATTCTCAGTACTTACTTATTTTCTTTTGGACTTTCTTTCTGTAAGATACTGATGATCCAAAAGAGAAACAGTTGACATGAATGAATTTATTTCTTCTATATTTGTTCTGCTATTGCTTTATGGATGATTTTTCACACAATTTAGATGAGATGAAATTCCTGTGATGTTTTTGTCTTGGATTTTCATGAGTAAATTATTTTCTAAGGATGTTTTATACATATTATTGTCGGATTCTTAGGCAACTACTATCACCTCACCATGGAATCTACTACAAACTACTCTATATTTGCTAAGTTTGGATTGTATGCCATCTACTGGGAACTTGTATTCTCATACCCTTTATATTTTTGCAGATCTTGGTTAGATTCCTTGCAAAAGCGTTAGGATATCACCACACAATAGTTAGAGATTGGGCCAGCAGGACTTTCTTATACTAGTTATTTATTTGTAAATTATATACTTTGTATTAGACCATAGTCGTTGTTTTGCAGAAGTTAGTTCTCTTAACTTGCAATTTTCCAATTAATCATACCCTACTGCTACCTTCTGAAGATGTTATTGCTAATAGCACTTGCATTGTCAAGTCAAAATAGGTTGTGGCTTTCATTGAGAGAGTTCATGATTTCTCATTATGCGCATCTCCATTTACCTTCATTAACTCAAGACAATTAATCAATTTTGCTTGTTCAATTTCCTTGGGTTGCTTCTAAGGATTGATTTTGGGCATAAATTTGCTAAATATTCTTTCTTTTTTTGAATTCATTTGGGGATGCCTTAAGTCTTTCAAAATTACACTAGACTCTTTCATCCATTGTGGTGTGTGCATGCTTATTCACATGTATGTGAGAGAAAGAAGTAGATATCTCAATTAATGTTATAAGGTGCTTGTGAGAGGAACTTGTCTTCTTGCCAAATGTTTTATGCTTTTTTTTTTTTTTAAATGAAAAGGGCATTGGATAAGCAGGTTTTGTCTTCCTTGCACTTTGTCATTCACTTGGAATTTAATATGCAAGGTTCATGCTCATCCAGTGCTCTTTCTTGATAGAAAGACCTTTGTTTAAGTTTATATGATAGCCAACTTAGTTATCAAGTCATACCTTTGAAATATTGTGTTTTATGTTATCTTGAAAGTAGTTAATCCATCTTGGTTGTCTTTGAACTTTTTCTTGTAAAGGTTGCTCCTTGTTCAGAAGTCTTCTTTGTATTGTCAAAGGCTTGTAATGCAGTGGGAAATTTTCATATTACTTGAAGAAAATTACACAAAAATTAATATATAAACAAGCTAAACAGTTGTAAACTTATTAAAAGAAATATGCAAACCTTGGATGATTGAGACATAGTATTATTCTTCTCAATTTTTTGCTATATGATTTGGAGAGACTTGTTTATAATTTCTTTTCAGATCTCTAATTGGTTAAGATGGAATTGACCTGCACTTGTGTATGATTTGTTATTAGAAACATCTTTTTATGTAATCTCTGTTCTTTGTCGAATGATATGTTTTTACAATAAATTACTTATAGTTCATATGGGACAATGTCACAAGCGGAGCAGCTTTGCAAGCAATGCAGCGATGATTGTGGCTTGCTAATCAGGTATGGTGTGCAAGTAGAATCTTCATTAATGTTGCTTACTGTTGGCATCCATGCTCGGGTAGTTGTTCTCTTGCTTTTTGATGCATAACTGGGAAAAAATGTTTGTAGTGCTACACTCATGGGGTTAAATATATTGATGGCAATCTATTTAAATTATTGAGTTGTGGCTTTCAAAGTTGGCAAGCGTCTAACCATGTTGGAGAGAAGTTTGCAATCTACTAGTTCCACCATCTAGCTTACTTGTTTGGATCTGCAGAATAATGGGGTCTAGGTTGGCTTGAGAAAAGGATATAGGTTGAAAAGAAAACTAAAGAATATGCATGAAAAATATAAGTCAACATATAGAAAATTATATTTTATTTATTTGCTTTCCTATACAAAGCATATTATTGTCCACACAAATAACTAGTGGTATCATTGCTCTGGAATTGTCCTTTTCTTTTTCTTTTTCTCAAATCATGTGCATGTTTGGAGGCTTGTACTTATAACTTGTATCTTCAATAAGAAAAAATTATAATCCATCAACAAAAGCAAACCAAGAAGCAATGTAATTACCTGAAGTTGACTGCAGATCTGATTCAATTTGGTTTCCTGATAACAGAACTGAAGATATCAAAATACCAGATCAACAAAAGAGATGAGGAAAACAATTTAAAACAGGGCAAATATAATGACCAATTGGGAATCTGGTCATTTTGATGAGCTACATATGGAGAGTAGAATAGTGAAATAGGATGAATTTTCATCAGTTTATAAAGATAATTTTAGAGCACTAGTTTGGTGAGGTTAAGCTTCACTTTCCTGGGTACATCAACGTCTCAAAATAGTTGTAGAAAATATTCCAATCCATGAGTCCAATAGAGTACTATGAACCGTAGGGTTGGACTTAAAAAATAAAAATAAAAAGTAAAAATATTATCAAAATTATGACTATTTCTAAACTATTAGTGGCCACAAATCTATTTCAACCCTAAATATGCTTGTTTAGTGTTAGTAGTGAATTCATACCATGTGTTTCTTATAAATGGCTTGTCAAAAAAATTTCAACTCCCAACTCACACACTAGTAGGTTTTTACCAAATAGCTAGTCCAATAGTTCCCCCCCCCCCCCCCCCCCCCCCCCAAAACACACACATGCGCACACAACACAACCCACAACCTCCCCTACCCCCCAGGGCACCTATCTCTCTGTGTGTGTGTGAGTGTGTGCATGCACGCACGTGCTAACTTTAATAGCACACTTCCCTTAAATAGAGGAGGAAAGCTAAGAAACTGAGAGGGAAGAGTTTTAAGTCCCTCTTCCTCTCTCTAGTTTTTATATTTGATATATTGTATCATTGGTTCTAAGTGTACATAAAAGTGAATGCATTTAAATCAAATTCTTATCAGTAAAACATGTATGTTCAGGTAATTAATTTTTTTCAATCTGAGTGAACATGCCTCTTTTCTTTAAATTTGTAAACTAATTACGAGTCCTTTATTTAAAGGTATTACTTGTAGACCAGTAGCAAACATGGGATTGTGGTCTTGCATGTGTTTTGATGGTTTTGAGAATCCTTGGCATTGGTAACTGTAACATTTAGGAATCTCTCTCTCTTTCTCTCTCTCTCTCTCTCTCTCTCTATATATATATATATATATATTGCATGTGTGTGTGTGATTTCATCTTAAGCTTTGTATCTTCATTATCATCTAAGAGCTTTTAACTCCTATTAGCTTTTATCTTTTGGATTGAATTGAAGAGCCCATAAAGAGCAAAGAGAAATGAATTTTGCACTTTGTTCCTTGCTATTTCATATTTCATTCTTCATCTTCCCATATATGTTATAAAAGAAAGAAATGAACAAACAAGACTTCTGCGAGCCTCAAGTACCTTAATTACCCTTATCATTTTTATTCGTTTCTTTTTTTTTTTAGCTCCTAAGAAATTATTTCTTCCCATTTCATTTGAATGCATTTTAGATGTTCTAAAAGCCACGCTGTGTTCTCTAAAACTTTTAATTGCTTCAGCAAGCTTCTATAGTTCTATGGCTAATATTTTTCTTACATCCTTTGTGACTAGGATTAACAAGTTTTTTTTTTTAGTACTAACAAATGAGGGATGTGATGAGTTTCTTATGTGGTTTGTGTTTTAAATTTAATTGTGACCGACAAACAATAACCAAACTTTGATCTATTTTTGGTATTAAAATTTCACATATTTGTTTGCTAGAGTTTGAAATTATAGTTTCTTTTCACAGCATTTATTTTCCTTAGAATTTTGAAGCAATATTGAAGTTTTTCTTGTTATGTTTGGACTATGATTTCATCTAGGAATTTTGATGGTGGCTTTGTGATTACATGCCTGATTATAGGCAATATACGCTATGTTGATTGTGAAGTGAATTGATAAATTTGAGAAATGTAATGACAGCCATTGTGAATTTAGAAACTACATTTTTTTTTTTTTTATAAATGTGTGCATGTTTATTTGCATTCTGTGACAATGATAAATCATGAAACAATTCACATGTCAAACTTCAGAATTTTTTACCAAAAATCCACAAGAATAAAACTTCATGCTTTCAAAGAAGTTATTTTATCTCATTGTTTTTGTTCTCTACTATTAACATACTTTATTCTTTGCTTTTGATTTTAAACTGTGAGTCTCACCTACTCATGCATCTGTGTTTTTGAAATCAATTGGCAAGGATATTGTTAGTTTCAACTTTCCTTCAGGGCCATTATTTGATTTTGATTCAAGTAAAGGAAAATCTTTGCTGATAAAGAGAGACCATTATAAGAACTTGTTTTTGTAACGATGAAAAGAAACTTTCTTCTACAATAGGATAAATATATTGTTTAGATGTGCAATACATGCATTCTTACTTTTGTACTGCCCTTCACCATGTGGATAGGTTTATACTTTTTCTTGCCCAGTTTTTATCCGTTGTAAGCTAGACTTATGGCAAATTTGCATAACTTCCATAATCAATTACTTCTATGTTATTAACTTTGTAATACGTAGATCAACCAAAGATACATTTGGTTTTGTGGTTTGTCTCACCAAAAACTTTTGGTTTATGACAGCCAATTTGGATGCCCTTTGAACAATATATTTACTTAGTAAGCTGAGTTCTACAATAACGTTTTTGCACATTTTGCAATGATAGTCTTGGATAAAAATAACCTGGTGAAGTATGATAAGAAAAGTGAATATTTTCAGGTCATTGATTGGGTTATATTTCCATTTACTATTACATTGCTCATGGGACAATATACACTTAGCATTTGAAATCAGCCACGGGTGACATCAAGCTCTATCAATTATTCTTGCTTAGTGAAAAATTCAAATATGGGATAGTGAGAAAAGATGAGAAGATAGAACTAGCAAAACTTTTGGATCGTGTTCCTATTCCAATCAATGAAAGTTTAGAAGAGCCCAGTGCAAAGATTAATGTGTTGTTTCATCTGAGGTGGTCTTCATTACCCAAGTTTGTTATTGTTATTGATAACTTTTACTTTAAGTTCTTTTATAATTTCACTCGAGTAGTTGGAGATTTTTATGACTTAAAACTTGGTGCTATGTGAGTGTTCCTTTCTCAAGTTTGTTTGCTTCTTTTATTTTTTTGGTGTACTTTGTTCATTTTGTTGTTTCTTTTGCTTTTATAGAGTAATGGATGGCTTATGCAACCACTTTTTGAGGTTGTCTTGAGAAGGGGATGGACACAATTAGCTGAGAAGGTTTTGAATCTATGCAAAATGATTAGCAAGAGGATGTGGAGTGTTCAAACAACTCGCAAAATGGTTAGCAAGAGGATGTGGAGTGTCCAAACACCCCTTCAACAATTTAATGGGATTTCAAATGAAATTTTGATGAAGTTGGAGAAGAGGGATATTGTTTGGGAACACTTGTACACTTGTGTTTAATATGGTTTAAACTTTTTTATTATGATTGAAATTTTTATATTAATGAATCCTAGCCATCAAATCTTGATTAATGGGTTTTGAAATTTGTAATTCATGCAAGTCATTGTTAATATTTAGATCCTCCAAACACAAAGCTTAGATAGAGTTTGATAAATTCAATTAATTTTTGATAATAATTATACAAAGCCAACTCTAGATTACTATTAAACTAAATTGAGAAATCTTAGTTATCCATTTATTTCATCCATTTAATTCATTTATCAAAACAATTATCAAACTAAATTAAGAAATTAAATTAATATTGGGGCTCAGCTTAGTAAAACTTTTATTTAGTTAACTTTTTGGGAAGTGAACTCAAATATTATTTTTCAAGATATTCATTAACTGGAAAAATTATAATTTTGCTTATTTTACAAAAATCTTATTGAAAATCCGATTATCCATTTCATTCATCCATTTAATTCATTCATTCGAATTCTTTATCATTTTTATTTTTATTTTTATGTTTCATTTTCTCATCATTTAAAATTCTACTTTTCATTTCATTATTTTTTCATTCAAAATTCTTCTCATTCATTTTTCTTTTATTTGTTTACTATTTACTTTCTTATTTAAAAACCAAAAAAAAAAGGAAAATTTCAAACCCTTTTAACCTTTTTAAATTTTTTCATTTTTAGGTTAGATAATTACTTTAAGTTAAGAGTTTTAAAAAGGTTAAAAATAATGACATTGAAATTTGTACACTTGCGAGTGAATATATTTAAAATGATCATATCAAAATTAGGATCTAAAATTTAGTTGGGGTCTTATTAATTAATTTAATGAACAATATTAATCAAGTCTTGATAATTAATTAAATAAACTACATTAATCAGATTAGAAGAAAAATCAATTAATTTAAGGTAATGATTTTTACATTACAATAAGAAATTTTTTTGAAAAGAAAATGTCCACGTTATAAAAGGAAGAAAAATTTGTTACAAATAACTTTTTTCCAAATGTCACCATATTAAGCATAACAAAATTTTAATTTAGGTAACAAATTTTCTACTTTGTAACATAAAAACTTATTTTTTGTAACAATATTTTGTTTGAAGTAACAGAATTATTTCTTTATAATCAAAGATGGACCTTTTGTAACAAAATGTAAAATTTTGTTACAATAAACCCTCTTATTGTGACAAATTTCAATTAGTGACAAATGTTTTTGTTACCGTATGTGCATTTTCTTGTAGTGAATAGTGAATACTTGATGAATTTAAATTATAAATCATATGAATTTTCAGCAATTCATTTGTTAGTGTTTTTTGATATATAATCTTAAATTTTTATCCTCCTAGTATAATAACTTTTAGAACCACTAATTAAACTTTCACTCAACACTATGTGTGCGCCTTATTAGTCTTGTCATAGTCTAGTCATTTCATTATGGACCTCCCCTCTCTCAGCTTTAGACTAGGTGGTTTTAACAAATTTGGTGTAGCAAAAACAAATACGAGTTACACAAAGTTAAAAATAAATATGAGGGGAACAAATTAAAAATATTTCTTAAACAGGGAAAATGCAGAGAACTGTGGGTACTATCACCTGTGAGCAGATTTTTCGTTTGAATTTTGGCTATCAAAAGCCACTCACATGTTATGGTACTAAAAGATTGGGGAATGTTTGTATAATTTCAAGTTGAGAAAAGATGAGCCTTGCTTAATTTTCAAAACTTGCTGGTTGTGGGTTTGCGAGATTTAGCAGGTGAGAGTTTGCGTTAGCAATAATTTTCATGGCATGAGAGAATTCAATGACTAAAGAAGATGGGAAGGTTTTGGGGTTATAACACCACAAGGATCCAATTTGTTTATGTTGTTTTTAGATTGAGATTTTGCTTTGCTATTGTTACCAGACATTTTAAACAATATATAAATAGCACTGATTTAGTTTTATTAACTGGTAACTGATCACATGAACTAAAACCAGGAGACAACATGGAGACAAAACTAAAAATAAAACTAAGAGCATAGAGACACCACAAGTGGCATGTTTGAGGACCAGCCATGTGATGTTTTCATTGATCTGATAATTGTTTACCAATTTAGAGAATAAGCTAATGAAACATTATAGTAAGACTGTACATAAAACTAACAGAAAAGAAGAATTGGCAAATACAAAGACATGGGCAATTAAAAATGAGTGATATTAATTAAAAAAATAGCAAAGCAACTAACTTAAAAAATCAAATGAAAATAGAAAAAGCATAAAACAAGCTATAATTAAAATAAAGACTGAGCTGAAAACAGAAAAACTAATTGCATTTTAGATAACAAAAATCAGAAATGACAATAATGGTATATCAACTCTACACTAAAGTTCGTACACAAAAGGAACAACACTAGAAGCTTCAGTAGACAAAACTAGTTCAACCTTAGGCCTATTCCAATCCAAACCAAATAATATATAAGCAATCCATCAATAGATCAAACAGAGAACAATTGTTATTTGAATTTTTTGAATTTGCTTTCTATTTTTTGGTTAATTTAGCTTTGATATTCTGTTTTCTTTTTTGGAGTATAAGTTCACTATTAGTTTCTTTTTTTTTTATTTCTATTGTTCTATTTTAATACATTATTTTTTGTTTTTCATTGTTTGACAATGAAAGGTTCAAAGCTTAATAGCAAAGCTGAAGCTATCCAAGTCCAAATCTAAATCCAAAAAGCACCATCTACGACTCAAGCATCACAAGCCCAACTACCACAAGATAGAACCAACAGAGGCCCAATGCTCTAAAAATCTAGCAATACTGTTTCTTATCACCAAATACTTTTAATAATTGTGGACAGAAAGACCTCAACATTCATATGAGTTCTTGCATGCAATTGTTAATTCTATTGGGTAAATTCTACCTTACATGTTTCATTATTATATGCCTTTAGTATCTAAGCTAGTAACTACATACTAGAGACAACCTTAGCAACTTAAGCTATTAAAGCAATATAAATATAAATATAATCTAGCAAAGAAGCCTACATTATTAATTCACAGAGAAGTAAAATGCAACCTCTCAAATATGAGAGTTGCAGACAATAGAATAAGCCAATTTTACCTAGAAGAGTTCCCAAGTAAATATAATCATTTGTCAAATAGAAACCAATAGAGTTCTAAAACATGTCAGTGTTTTCTTTTTGTTAAAAAAGTAGAAATATGAAATCTAAACACAATAAATAGAAAGCTAAGTATAATCCAAACCAATCTGCTTTCCATTGTTCTCATTCCATTGACCCTAAAAATAGTGCTATTTACTATGGATAGTTGAACACCTAGTAAATAATTGTGACAAACAAGAAAAATAAAGAAAGAAATTACAAAATAGAAGGGAAAGATGACAAATATATAGATAACTCTTGTTATTACTAAAAAATAATTATCTTATGAGAAGGGATCAATTAACATCAGTGTAAATGTAAAAAACTTACACAGTTGATTTGGTGTAAGTTTTTTACAATTACACTAGTGTCAATTGATCATTTCTCTTTATCTTAGGCTTCTTGTCAAAATTCCAGCTAATTTTAAAAAATTTTGAAATAAGTTTGGAAATGGAAATTCTTGGAATGATTAGATATTCCACAATATTTTACCTTTCTTCAGTATCTAACATTTCCCATAAAAAATAGTTAAAGAATTGGAAAAACAAAAATAAAAATCAAGGTCAAGAGGCAATTCTAACAAAGATGAGGGTACTAGTACCTCAACATTTTTACGTCTATGGATTGGACTTATAAAAAGTTTTAAATGAAGCCATAGTATCGAACAAACAAGAGTTCTCTGTTCATTTGCCCCTTGAGTTTTTACTTCATTGTTGGGAAGTAGCAATGATAATGTAGTGAGTGTCTTGTAGTGTAAATTACTGGCTTTTATTATTGCTTAACTGATCGGTAGAGAAAAGTATGTGTTTCTGGAAAATGTATTAGTAGGATACATTTGCTTTTAATTGAAAAACAACAAAGATGTACCTTGAACTATATTGATTGATGTGAACAAAATTCGTAATGGTAATTTAATGGGAAGAAGAATATTGATAATAGGAGTCCAATAATCCTAGCTAGCCTTCAATTAAAAATAAACCCCTCTAGCTATTAAAGTTCCATGCATATGAAGAAATATTTAACATTAAAGGAAAAATCCATATTTATCTTGTATTCTTCTCAAAAATCATTTTCATTGCAATGGAATAGTATTTGCTCCTGAAATTCATTAGCAATTTATTATAAAATATAGTTGTGGTAGTTCTTTTGTAACGGACCAGAGAAGCCCTTGTTTTATGTTTTATGTGAAATTCATTAATATAAGTAAAATATGAAATATTGTTATATAAAAACTGATGATCCCTCTCTCTTTCTGCAGGTTCATGGTGTATAATATTTATCTTTTGTCTTATTTTCTACCTATTGTTCTTGTTGTTGAGGAAGCATATATACCTAGTGTTTCATTGCTGCAACATGTATTAGACAGAAATTGCACTTTATCAAAGACCCAACAAGATTTTTAAATAATTTTGCATCTACTTTTTCAGCACCATCTTCAAGTTGCATCTTCTTATTCAAAGCCCTACGAGTTGCCAATGGTTTGCATTTTTCTATGTGATATTTTTTCAACTAATCATCAATGTATTTTTCATAATAGAAAAAAAAAACTTTCACTTGAATTCTAAGGAAACATCTCGAGAGTCCCAAATTTATCATCTCAAATTCTTGTTATCATATTTTTCTTGAACTCTTCTACTAAATTTATATTGGTGCCCAAGTAAATAAGAGTATCAACATATAAGCATACAATTAAAGCATCTTTTGTACCTTCTTTCTTCACATAAATTGATGACTCAATTATGCTTTTTTTTGAAATCCATTGTTATGAAAGTATCCAACAATCTTGCTATCCCAACTCTTGATGCTTGCTTTAAGCCATGGAGAGCTTTTTTCAACCGATATAATTTTTTTCTCCATTTCTATGAC